GCTTCCGATTTCAGAAAAAGTGTAAAATAGCGTACAAATGACGTTGGATATCGATTTTCTAAATTTAGTCCCCGTTCCGCAAATACCCATATTGTAGGGCATTTGACACATTTTCTGAAACCAGATGGGATCCCAAAATGGTATCTGATATCGATTTTCGACATCTACACGTTTTTTTTCCGGTCCGAAAATACTCGTATTGTAGGGTATTTGGTACTTTTCTGAAACCCAATGGCCGCCATCTTGGATTCCAACATGGCGGCGGATATCGATTTTCAGCATCTACGCGACTTAACTTTTTTGGGTAACGGATTTCTATTTAAAAAAGATTAAACGTCTAGTCCACTTCAACACTCACTTAAGACTAACTTTATTTCTATCGATTAATGCTACAGGTGAACTTTATGTCTACTCAGCACTTCATGCCATCGGTGCAGAGTCCATGCACTGTCGTCCACGTTGGTCAATTTTGCTGATGCGCCTCGATGCTGCCGGTGCGATGTCGTTCATTAACCGGCGGCCGAGTCCCACGAATTCTGCTGACGTTCGTTGACACCTGGTGAGGACTTTGCACTTGTTGTTCTACCAGCCGGATGGCAATGTTGCTAAGTCGGGTGACGATGTTGCTAACTCGCGTTGTCTCCGTTCCGAAAATACGGTACGGTATCTGAAACTTCAAAAAACCAATCGTCACTATCTTGGATTCCAAAATGGCGCCGAGTATCGATTTTACCCATATCTTTGGGTATTTAACAGTTCTTCTGGAACCCGATGGCCGCCATCTTGGACTCCAGAAAGGCCTTGTTAATTTAATTTTCGTTTAATCACAGACAAACAGACGTAACATTTCATTCTGGATCATCGTTCACGCATTTAACGTCTGATTTGAATATTATCAATTCCGCGAACTGCTCACCGCAGCGCTGGCATCGCATCACTTGGAAATTTCTTTATATTCTGTTTAGCTTGCATGCAACATTGTTTGCGAGTTAACGAGCTAGCTTGTTCTCCGCGAGAAGCACGAGAGATGTCGTTACTGATGTCCTTTTTATTGAGGTGCAATGGTTTCAAGAAAAACTTATTCAAAGAGTTATGTCTGTTTGTCTGCGGTTTAATATAAAATAATATTTTATTACTGTATATAATCCGAATGCCATCCCCTATTGGCAACCGATATTGTGCGGATACTATCCGGATACTATATTTCGATGCCTGACGACGTGACAAGTCGAATGAACCCCGAATTGAAGTGAGAGTGAAAAAGAAACGAAGGAAGCAATTTTCGAGTCATTCATTGTGTCAATTGAAACAAGTCTTTGCTTCAAATGAAGTGAACTGATACACTTGACGAACGAAACAAGCGATAGTCAAGTCTTGTTTAACAGGAGGAATGTTCATCGTGACTCGATAACAAGAAACGCAATGACTTACACGAAAATGATATTGCTCGAAATGAAGCGATTCTGCGGAGAGTTCATTTCCTTTTCTTTGTTTCAAAAATGCAGAACCCTGGTTGTAAATAAAATGGGAGCACTGCTGAAAAACTGTAATTGTAAGTTGTTCACAACGTTACGTGCCGTTTGACTGTATATTCAGGAACATCCTCTTACTGAATATACCAGAGGAACTCAGATCAGCAGTTCACTTATAGATCCCCCCCACCCGTGCAAGTCACGAATGATCTAAAATGGGTTAAACAAAACAAATAAACAATAATCGACAGATGAACCTAAATTAAATTTTAAACAAAACGTTAACAGCAGAACTTCAAGTTAAGTTTTCATCATGATAGGATCTGAAAACGATATTAAACGATTTGCTCGGGTAGGTTTCTGGTCTGCCTTAGAGGACTTTTATTGTCCTATGATTACAAAACACCAACATTTCGCACACCCACCACTTCCCGCGCCATCCTCAATCCGATTTATCCTTGCGATTTCAAACAAAAACATTCAAGGTGTCAGAAATACCGGGTTGCCGGGATGGGTATTTTACAAACATTCGCAGCTTGCTCTATGACCGGCACAATCGGTACACCTGCGGCACACTTGCACTGACAGAAAGGATGACCCAAGATTGGTGTGCGGAGTGACCTAACCCATTCTTGTGGGTAAAGTAAATAAGAACAGATATTGCAGTAGATGGAATAATACGGGAGTATTTTTTTAATTAAGCACGAACCAAAAAACATTAATTCTTTAAGTCGATAATTCTCTAACTCGATGGTCCCTTCCATATCGAGTTATGGAGAGTTGACTGTATTCTCAACCACTCTGTCTCAGATTTCATTTCGATCAGAAGTGACGTTTTCGTGCTACAATTTATTGAAAATGTCAAAAACGCCATTTTGAATAAAATTACAAGATCCAAAATGACCGAATTTTTAAATCAGAGAAGCTCGATTAAAAAATTATTTATGTTTTTGCCATTTTGGCGGAAACTGTTCAAGATCGAGATAATGAGTCCTAGACGCATGCAAAAAATTTCTGTATCCGTGATGATCCCTTCTTGGAAGATTTATCTCGTTTCCATAAAAATGAGGTTTTAGACTACGAACTAGAAAAGTTGTCCAGGTCCCAGAGGTATAATTTTTTTTTAAATGTTACAGATGTTCCTATATATTAGACGGTTTTAACATTGTCAAAATTTGTCAACGCCGGAGACTTTGAACATTTTTCTCTGTGTCCCAATTTTTTGTTCTAATCACTTAGTAAAAAAAAATTGTTGAAACTATTTTTTTCTAAAACAAATTTATGGGATCCTTAAAGCATTTAAGAGTTTAGTTCTAAAGAGCATGAAAAATGTTCATGGTGGATTTGTGAGTTCATAAAATTTCACGAAGTGGTAATCGAAATTTGAATCACTAATGTTACTACTAAAGACTATACTGTAAAAAATGCAACAGACAAAACTGATCACCAAAAATTCATTTTAAGTCGGATATTGTTGAAACTCTCAGGGAATAAATAAACACATATTAGCTATGTTTCTGCTAAGTTTGTTTATTCAACCTATTCTTCTAGGCTAAATGCCCGCACCTTGGACTTAACACTACCAATCAAATCCTGTGCAACACTTGCGCCCTCTTTCTTACACACTTTCATCCACTCTTTCTTCAAATCCTTGTCGTTTTTAAAGACCTTCCCTGTTTTCCGGAGCTTGCCCTTCATAATCGCTCAGAATTTTTCTATTGGGCGAAGTTCTGGCGAGTTTGGCGGATTTGTCTCCTTCGGCACAAAAACAACATCGTTGGCTTCGTACCACTCTATCACCGGTTTCGCGTAATGACACGATTCCAGATCCGGCCAAAACAGAGTGTCACCTTCGTGGGACCGGAGGAAGACCTGCAGGCGCTTCTGGAGGCATTCTTCTTCATATATTTGGCCGTTGATGGTGCCGGTCTAAGTACACTAAGTACTTCTTGGCTAATGTGTTGACCTTCTTCTTCCGTTACATCCAGGCGGGACTTGCCGACGAAAAACTCCAGGTCGGGGAGCTGCTTGGCGTCCACTTTAATGTACGTCTCGTCGCCCATTACGATCCATTTCGACTGCACCAATCACTCGCGGTACAGCTTCCTGGCGCGGGATTTGGCCACCGTATTCTGTTTATCGGTTCGGTTAGGCGCCTTCCTTACCTTGAAGACATGAAGTCCGGCCCGCTGGACGAACCAGACGGAAGAATTGACCTTCTTGGCCACGTCCCGAATCGAATGGTTTGGATTGCGCATGAAGTAATCCCTCACCTTCCTTGCGTTCACGGGTCGTCTTCGCTTTTCTTCCGCTGCCAGCTCGCCGCTGGGTCGTCTGGGTCTCCTTGAACGATTTTACCACACGGGACACGGTCGAATTGTCGATTCCAAACTGTTTCGCGGTTCACCTGTGGAACTGGCCTGGATTTTCCACGACCACTCCCTTCACGGCGAATGAGAACGACTCAAATTCGAGTTTAGTTCACTGATAATCGCCAAAAGTGCAGGAACTCAGCGATGAGTAAAATTTGTCTCATGGTTTCCTGTGGAAAACCTAAAAAATCTGGCGGAAAATGAGGAAATTGACGAAATTTTTATTCAGTCTCGGAGTAGTACCAATTGACTGTGTGAATCCAATCTTTACTTTTCTCAAATTCGGGAATTTTTCCCTGGAAAATCCTGGAAAAACCTGGGAAAACATGAGGCAAATTTACTCATCGCTGAGTTTCTACACTTTTGGCGATTATGAGTGAACTAAACTCAAATTTGAGTCGTTCTCATTCGCCGTGTTAATTTTTTGCAGAAGCGCTTCATGTTTGGAAACCATCTCGATAACCGCTTGACAGATTGTGACGAGATTTTGCACATGTAAACATTACACTCTAGACTAGTTTTACTCAAAATTTCATCAGTTTTTACCCATGCAATACAAAGCTAGGCACAAAAGGAAGTGTTGCATTTTTTCGAGTACAATCTTTAATATAACACGCACTCGCTACCAGTACCACTCGCTGGTAGAAAGTCACGCCAAAACTGCTAGACAAAGTGGTCAATTCAGGACGCCGAACCTCTTATCTCAGTTGCTAAAAAGAATGGCAAACGACGTATTTCTCCTAATCCCCTATGGAGGTTATTCTTCAGGGAATGACGTGTTATATTTTGCATCAATCAAACTGTTCTGGAATTGGGCCTGAAACTGCTGCGGCATCGAAATGTGGAACGCTCAGAAACATGCACTGAACAAAGTATTCTCCTTGACTTTGAAGTAATTTTCCATCACGCGATATATTTTCACTCTGGCTGCGAACTCCGTCCATAATCCTTGTAGAACAGTCCATAAATTAGACGCCGACCGCCAAGTAGTCGAACAACTTCATTAGTTTATCTGAGTAGCATTCTAGTTCTCGGTCACGTAACCTCGACTCAAAGAGCATCAATCATTTCGCACCTTCGCCTTCTAAACGCCGGGACATAGCACTTAATTAAAATACGATTGAAACCGATTCTGATACTTTGTTTTCATTTCCAGCCCGTCCTCGACGACGACGAGCTGCACCAGCGCAAGGTGACGGGCAACGGAATCTACATGAACGGTATGCCCAAGCCGGCGGCCAACTCGTACAGCAACGGCAACTCGAACGGATTCGTCGAGTCGATCCGGGACGAGAACGACGATTCGACCAGTGCAGCGGGCCTGATGCGCGTCCGGAAGATCCAATAACCCAGCGCCCTCAGCAACGACAACGACAACGATGACGGAAGCGGTGGCCAACAGCGGTCGTCGTGGCACCAGCAGCGTCTTCACCGTCGTCGTCGTCCTCGTCGTCAGCAGAACCAACAAGCACGGAGAGGTGGCGTCGGTGGCGGCGGAGGTCGCGGTGGCCGTTGCACCTTCTAGGAATCCCTACTACTACTACTACAGTAAAACTACTATTGACGCAATGGGTCCGGTTGGTCGGCCGAGGAGCCCGTGCCGGTGGGGAGCATGAAGTGAAGATTAAGATTTAAGTCAAATGTGTGTGGGGATAACTAGACTAAGCTTAATAGGAAGTGTCTAATATTAGCAAACGGTTATGAGTGAGAGAGAGAGAGAGAGAGAGAGAGAGAAAGCTGTGAGAGGTGAGCGAGCGAGTGAGTGGAACCTTTAGTAGGATTGTTAGTCTTTAGGAGTCAACAGAGAGTTTTTTTGTTTTGTCGCATATGGAGATTCGAACGCAAGCGTGAGACGCGCCCCCCTAAAATCTACTCGACGATCGTTTCTCATTCGAAAGAGACGGAAATTTGTATTATTTGCTAATGTCTTTCGCTTTTATGCGGGTGGAGGCTGGACTGTTCCAAAAACAGTCCCGCCGATTCGATGTTTTGCTTAAGGAAAACAAAAAAACAAAATCAATCAATCATATACAATTGGATTTAGTGGAATGAGAATGCGAACGCGAACAATGGGAAATTGTGTGTTGATACGAAACTGGAAATAGTATTTTCTATTCTATAGAGAAGATTTAAACGGTTTGTGGCAAGGAATAACCGAACTGAAACTGCTACTACTACTATTTTTATAACTGTCTTTTACCTAGAGCATACTGTTTAGAAGGAAGCCTATCTTCGGCCCCCAAATCCCAGGAATTTTTACCTTACACCGTCATTGTAAAGCTTCGAGCTTTGATGCATTTTGTAGAGAGCAACTTTTGCATATTATCAATGCTTTTGCCCTTGTTTTGTATTCCCTCGGTTATACACTTCGTGCCGCCAGTTTAGGCAATCAAGTTGGTTCCCCTCCGGCAGAAAGTTTAAAATGTCAAAATGTCGGTGAAATGGCTTATTTCCCCACCCGAAAGATGGAATTCCGACGAACGTCCCCTTCGGCGAATAAGCTCTTGTCTAGAAGTGTACTATGAAAGATGCTTGCATTTAGTCTTTACTGTTTTCGTCGGTTTTCGCCGATAAGGACGTTCGGTGAAATGTCCTGCTAGGACTGGTGGAATTTAAGTCTGTTGAATGACACATTTCATAGGATTAAATTTTCGGCAAAACGACTGCTCGATCATCGTCAGCCAAGTTTTTAAGGATTCCACGAAAAGTTCAGAATAAATCCTACTTATATGGTTTTACTAGTGACGTTTGGTCAAACGACCCTTTTCGGTGAAATGGCACATTTTCATGTATCGAAAACTTTTAAACCCCTTGTGAAGTATTATAAAGTTAGGAAGCGTTTGTTCATGCTCATTTTTTAAACTTAAACTAAGTTTGAAAAGAAAATGGTCAATGCAACCCCGGTTTTGTTCACCGAAAAAAAAAAATGTCATGACATTTCGACCCGCAATGGAGCGGAAATCTCCGCACGCGGTCATAATTCCAATTTTCAAAACAATTTTCCCGATTGTTTCCCAACGCAAGTTTCGATTTCTGACCCGACGACACTTACACACTTGAAGATAAGTTTCACATTTTTTTTCGCTATAAAAAAAATGCCCGACTTGACAACTTTGCCCTCAAAACTCGACTACCGCAGTCAGTGTCATGACATTTTTGTTTTTGGTAATCAATGACATTTTCATATTTCTTTTCTGGAGTGAACCAACTGCCCCGTCAGATGTAATCAAGAAAAAACACACACACACACGCCTACACGCACACAACCAGTAACGTTAAACAATGTATAAGAAATCTGTAAACTTTTTCCAAACACGCTTGATGGCAACACTTTGTGCGACGCGGCAGAAAAACAAAAAAAAACGACAACACAACATGGTGACAGTTCTATACTTAACACACACACACACATTCAAACACACAAATGAATGGGGAATCTAGCGGTGTTGTTTCGCTTTAAGTTGGGTAATACATATCATTTTGTTTTTAATTTACGGATGTTCCAAATACACAATAGATGGACCTCTGGACCCAAAGAAGAAACCAGTCTCTAAATTGAGGGTGTTTTTTTTTTCGTAGGAAACTTATCGATCAACTGAATCGAACAAAACACGTGAATAAACACATTCACACACACTCACACACACACTCACACACACACACACACACACATGTAAAATTAGTCGAACAAACACATCCCCGCATCCCCCTTTTACAACCAATTGTTAGTTTGTAAGTAAGTCACTATGTTACTCTGTTCTGTCCTTTTATTATTTGTTTTTCCCCGTCAGTAAGTTATGTTTTTTTTTTTTTTATTTTGTTGTATGAAACTTTTATTGAAGTTTGAAGTTGAAGCAACATTGCGTGCTTCAAACGCAAACAAACAGGACAAACCTCCGTGGTTGAAATGTGCAACAGTATGATTTCTTGTTATTTAGGTTAGTTGAAGAAAAAAAAAACAAACAGTAGATAACAAAAAAGAGAAAACGGTACTGTGAGAGGTGAGAGAGAGAGATGGAAAGCTGAAGGCCATCGGAACCGATGTTTTTGAGGACGATGATGATGATGATGAAAACACAATCGATGATTTTAAGATTCGATAAATACGAGAGAAGAAAACTGATGTTGAGCAAGAAGCTGGTCCAAAATAAAGAATAAGTTTAGTTCGAGGAGTAACCAAAAAAAAAAAAATCAAGGTGCGGATTTTGCGAAGTTAGCTGGTGAAAGAACGATCCCTGATGGTCTGGCGAAGAAAGGTGGGCAAAAATTGCCACAATTTTCAGGGAAATTGAATATAGGGTGGATAACAGCGGCAGTAAAGTTTTTGAACAGAAGTCTTAAGATATTTAAAAGATACAATGGGGGAAGTTGCCTTGTGTGACAGAAATCAAATGACATATCCAGAACAACATGTGAAAAGGGCATACAAGCTTTTTGTAAACAAACATTTGTAGGCCCTTTTCTCACCAACCGAGGGTCGCCCACGCAAACCAGCAATATCATCGGGAAGGGGAAAGTGTCCCCTACCCGGTGATGTTAAAGGTTTGCGTTGGTGTCATATGGGTGGCGAGAAAAGGGCATAAGAAGGTTTGTTTACAAAAAGCTTGTATGCCCTTTTCACATGTTGTTCTGGATATGAGGAACTTCACGCAAAACAACTGATTAAAGGTTGACCCCATTTTTGGTTTGCCTCGATAGTACAACTGGTATTATACTATAATAGTTGGCCATCAATCTGTCAAAATAAAATTTTCATGATATCGACACTGAGCGTTCACAAGGACCAATGTCGAAAACGTAAACAATGGCTTCTTTCGTAAATTTCTCGTAGTTCCAAGTCAATCCATGTAAGCCATAAATTATATCGGATAGGAAGACTCTCCCGCTACATAATCATCGTGGTGGTTTAATTGAGTGGTTTTTCTTTCTCGAGAAATTCGCGTAAAAAGTCATTGTTTGCGACTTTGACACAACTTTTTTTTTCTGTGAATAATAGTTTAACACTCTATTAAGACCATCTTTCTGATGTAAAAAGTAGAAGAGTCTGTGCCTAGGGGCACGAACGGAAGCTTGACGTAGGACCGCTAGTGGACGGAATATGTGAAGAGCATTAAGTTCTTTTAATTCATCAAATATCTATTTTATCAACTCTTTCCGTTTTTGAATTGTAGGCGTACCAAATTTGTAGTAATCTTTTTCTAAGAGAAAGTTGATTACGAAAATCAATCAAAATCACTTGCACCCCTGCTTCCAAGTTTGTGTGGTCGTTGCGTTGTGGGCTTGTGGTTCTGAATATGGACAAACAAGCATAGATAAATTCTATTCCAACTCTTTACTGATGTAAGCTTGATGGCCCTGAAAAGGGCCGTTTTATTGAAGAGGACATCCATGGCCACTTACTTTTGGCGTGTTTAGTGAGGTCACGGACCTCATTTTCCAGGAACACCTTCAATACACCTCGTAGATCAGACCGGAGATACGTCAGACACCGCCACGGCGAGCCAGACGACGGATGGTGGTTATCTCGAAGAATTTGCGATGACGGTTGGCACCTCTTTTGCTTGTTAGGTTATAGAAAAGTGGACTAACCACCTTCCTACTGCTGCTATTGCTGACCATGCCGTCCGAAGCGAAAATGAACTGATACCAGACTTTTGACTTTAAATGATCTATATTTCTTGAATTTGTGTGGTTTACATGTATAACTTATCAAGTGACACAGATGCGTCTTTTCAACTTTAGTTCTTTTGATATTTCAATTATTATTAATTAATGTTCCTAGTCTTATCAGGTCTGTTTTAGAGAAGGACCACCTTGGTGGGATTGGTTTGTTTTAAAATTTGAAAAAGAAGGCTACTTATAAATACTATTTATAACTACAACTACTATAGACACCTAATCTACTATATACAAATTGCTTATTAAAGCATGTTCTGATAAATTACATTTTTGTGCAAATTTAGTCTTAATTTCGTTAATTCTGGAATCTATTTTGGTAATGCCTGCCTCTTCGTGTAAATTTGTTATTCTAGTGTCAAAAGAACGATCAAGTACCATCCTCAGCACTCTATTCTGAGCGACCTGGATTTTGTTCCTGTGAGTCTGTGCACATGATTCCCACACCGGAGCTGCGTAGAGGATCGCAGGTGCTATGATTTGTTTGTAGACGGCCAGTTTATTCATCCTTGAGAGGCGGGATCTGCGGCAAATCAGCGGAAACAGACACCTAACCAAGGTAGAACACTTGACTACAGTTTTCTCTACATGCGAACGGAAGAGGAGCTTTTCATCGAACAACATCCCGAGATAGGTTACTTCGGCGGACCACTCAACCCTTGTGTCATCCATGATTACAGTACAAGATGGAGCCGGTTTTAGTTTGGGCGATTGCCGATGGAGGAACATGATCGCTTGTGTTTTGGAGGGATTGATTTTAATTTTCCACGTGGTGGCATGATCAACAAAGGCGTTAAGGCATCGTTGAAGTTTGTTCGTTATTTCGCGAGGCATCCTTCCTTTGACGGCTATTATTGCGGTATCATCTGCGAACAGGAAAAACACGCAACCGTCTCCGAGGGGAGAAATGACGGAAGTGTAAATGCTGTAAAGCAACGGGCCCAACAGAATTCCTTGCGGAATACCTGCTGGGATGGAAAACGTGTCTGAAAGACAACCATTCAACGATACCTTAAACGACCTTTGCTGAAGGTAGTTACGGGTGATTTTAACCAGATGTAATGGGAAGTTGAAGTTACAAAGCTTGTTCACAAGTCCGTCATGCCAAACATTGTCAAACGCCTTTTCAACGTCTAACAAGGCCATGGCTGTGGACTTGGATACAGCTTTGTTACTTCGGATGTTATTCATCACCCGCATTAGCTGGTGATTGGTGGAGTGCCCCTTTCTGAAACCAAACTGTTCCGGAAGGAGAATGTTGTTTTCCTCGACAAACTTGAGCAAACGATTGAGAATGAGTTTCTCGAACAAATTGCTCAGCACTGAAAGGAGGCTTACCGGGCTTGCGGATTGGTATGATTTTTGCTACTTTCCAGATGCTTGGAAAGTAGTGCAGTTCCAAGCATCTGTTGAAGATAGCGGTTAGAAGAGACTGCACTTTCATGCTGAGTCTCTTCAAGATCAAGTTGAATATACCGTCAAACCCGGGAGCCTTCATGTTC